CCCCAAAACCCCAAAACCCCAAAACCCCAAAACCCCTAACCTAAAGCCGAGGTTGAAATTTTCTAATATATCTGACTCATTTTAAATTATCTTATGTAACAGACGTAATTGAAGTACTGATGAGCGATCAGATCAGAAATCGCGAGTAACGGCCGACATGAAATGATCCCTAGTGAACTCGCATGTTTCAATATGGATGGGACTAATATGACGGAATTGATCCAAAAAGAGTAGAGATCATAACCAGAATAGTTTCAGAATAATTCACTTAAAGAATTCTGATTTGTTAAAGTTTGAAAGAAATTCTTGCTAAATTGTTGGTCTTGATGCAAGCAAGACCTACTCCTGACTAGCTATAAAGTACCCTGATTAAGCCCGAGGATTTGATTAGTTTTGAACATATATACAATTAGTTATTATTCACATTTTGAGGAAGCCCATCTGTGGTTCTGGGCTACTAACTCAAATTATTTAAGCCATCTTGAAGAGGTCCTTGAAACATGGCTCGTTAACTTCAGTCAAGGTCTTTGGAATTGAAACAGTTTTCATCAAAGGAAGTTCCTTCTTCTCGAAATCAGGCTCCATTAGGAAAGGTGCTTCTTTATATAAATCTGATGAAGAGCTCAAATATTGGTCGGCGTCAAAAGATTCATCCCAGATCTCATCAAGCCAAGTATCCCGCACTGTTGAAGTCCCTGTGTTAGTACTAGACTTCTGTATTAGTTGAAGCTTCTCTGCTCTCTTTTCTTTCTGAGCAGGTAACCTTGTGCTCAAAATGTGCTGTAATTCTTTCCGGTTACTGTTGTCTGATCCGTCAGACCTTCTATTATCACAAAACATGTCATAATCGGTTTGCTCAGAAACTAGTTTCTCAACCTCCAAGTTGTAATCAATGCGGCTAACTGCTAATCCAGAAGACATGTTGGAGCTTAACTCTCCAGCCTCAGAGATACGAGGGCATTTAAGCATTGGCTTCTTAGTATCATCTAAAGCTCTTTTAGTTCTTTTGGTACCCTTTCTTTTCCTAGGTCTATTCTTTGACTTGTTTAGCTTCAACAACTTCTTTTTCCTTCTTTCAGCAGAGAGCTTTTTATCGAAGCCCCACTTATAAATCTGAGTGGTGCCAAGATTAAGAACTTCCTTGCAGTATTGTACTGTCTTCCTGCTCCATTCTGGGTCTTTTTCAAATTGGGATTCCAGAAATTTAACTTCCTCGGGAGTCTTCACTCTGATCAGCCTTGTCTTTTTCATAATGTAACAGTCCTGCAGGGCAACCTTTTTCTCTGAAATTTGGACATTTTTAAGCATCAAGGCATTCTTCTTATTAACCTTAGTCTTATTAGCAGACTTGGGAAGATTTGGATTAGTAATTTCACTATTTGGCATTATTTGTGTGTAAGATTTCGAAATCATTGATAAATTAGATCTTTAAATTAGTTATATTCTTCAAGAATAAATCAACCTATTAATACTTAGTTGGGGTTTTGGGGTTTTGGGGTTTTGGGGTTTTGGGG